ATGGTATACTATTACAGTTATGTCATGATGTAAGTTGACAATTATGTTATGATGTAAGTTGACAATTATGTCATGATATAATTTAGCAGCTATGTTATGGTGTAACTTGGCAGTTATGTCATAGTGTACTATTACAGTTATGTCATGATGTAAGTTGACAATTATGTCATGATGTAAGTTGACAATTATGTCATGATGTAAGACAGCTATGTCATGATATAATTTAGCAGCTTTGTCATGGTATAATTTGGCAGTTCTGTCATGGTATAATTTGGCAGTTATGTAATGCTGTAATTTGACAGTTTTGTAATGATATAACTTGGCAGTTATACCATGGTGTAATTTGGCAGTTATGTAATACTGTAATTTGATGGTTTTGTAATGGTATAACTTGGCACTTATACCATGGTGTAATTTGGCAGTTCTGTCATGATGTAATTTAGCAGCTATGTCATGGTATAATTTGGCAGTTTTTTGTAATGATATAACTTGGCAGTTATACCATGGTGTAATTTGGCAGTTATGTAATGCTGCAATTTGGCAGTTCTGTCATGGTATAATTTGGCAGTTCTGTCATGGTATAATTTGGCAGTTATGTAATGCTGTAACTTGGCAGTTTTTTGTAATGATATAACTTGGCAGTTATACCATGGTATAATTTGTCAGTTATGTAATGCTGTAATTTGACAGTTTTGTAATGATATAACTTGGCAGTTATACCATGGTGTAATTTGGAAGTTCTGTCATGATACAGTTGTCCTTCATTTTGTCATCTGATGGGTCAGCTTCTGCTTTCATATAATGTCAGTTTTCACAGAACGACCTGGTCTTTGGAACCTGATCATGTTGATAAGTGAGGTATGGGTGCAGTTTTATTTGTTTTTTCCCATGTGCATTGCATCCTTTAAATTGAAACAGAATACTATATGACTGAGGTGTGTTTGGTGGGGCTGGGGCGAGTTCTAGGTGAAACCTTCCCTTGATTTCAAATTGTGGGTAATTGAAAAAGAAATTTGAGAATGTTTTTACTCTCTTTCCAGCCCAAATCCATAGACAAGGTTCACCTGTGGGAGAAGACGGTGCCCCAGGCCCCTTTTGTGTCCACACATTAAAGAATTCACCAACAGAAAATGAGAAATCTCTCCATTCTCTTGCTTTGTGATGCCACTATTGGCTTCCAGAAACATTCATCACAGTTTCCTGTTCCCTGTGTTGTAATTGCCTGTGAATTGTGAGTGGCAACTAAGGGTTTCTTTCCCTTCTCTCCTTCCTACCGTGCCTCCTGCTGTTTGTTTTGCTGCCTTTGACAACAACTCCCTTGGACCAGTGCCCACCGCGCCCCCTCAGAATGTGCAGACAGAAGCAGTAAGCCCCACAACAGTCCGCTTCCTGTGGACCCCTCCACCACAGCAGTTTATCAACGGCATCAATCAGGGATATAAGGTACTTGGCTTCTTAGTGTGACTGTTGGGGTATGTTATGGGTCATGTAATACAAAGGGGGGAAACGCCCATTTTAGGGTATCTTGGCCCTCCTCAAGGTCACCGTTTATCTCAGGTTTTAGCATTGGCTCTTATGAGTTCAGAAACAGTCCTTACTGATTACCAAGAAATGGTTCATGCAGAAGAGAGCAGTTTCCTTGGAGGAGGGGATACATAGTTCAACAGGTTGGAGTCAGTACTTGAGCAAAACTCTGCTTCCTGAGAAGGAACCTCCTCAGAAAAGCACAGACAGGGTCCCATAGGTATTGAATCCACTCGAGTTATCTCCCCATCTCCTTCCGACTTTATGGAAATTTCTGACTAAAAAGCAGAGGCCACTTGATTCAGAGTGCCTCAGTCAGTTCTTGTCCAGTTAATTCTGACTCATGGTGAGCCATGGGTGCCAGAGCAGGACTGTGCTTCATAGGGCTTCCAGTGGCTGATGTTTCTGAAGTAGACCTCCAGATCTTTCTTGTAAGATGCCTCTGGGTGAAGCTGAACCTCCAACCTTTTGCTTAGCATCCAAGCTTGTTCATCATTTCTACCACTAGGGGCTCCCTCAGCTGGACTGAATCAGAGACACAGACAGATCCCCACCATCCAACATCTCTCTGCCATTAGTTACTGGAATACAAAGGACTTCTAGGAGTTTTTGGATAAATGGAATTTTCCCACAGACTTTCTGAAGGCCCCTCATATTACCTTTCTCCGTATCCTTGAATGTGATTCCCAGAAGCATACTTTGTCTTCCCTCTGAGCTCAGTTTTTCTCTGGTTACCTTTTAGAGTTATCTGAATTTTACCTACCGCACATTTACACATCTTCCTTGAAGGCAGGTAAATTCCAGGCATATGTTTATAAAGAATGAATGTCATCTAGTTTGCTTGGCTATGTCATCATTACAGATCCAGAGGGTATGATTTGCTGAGACACATAGGTTCATTTTTTGCCCATTAGATTTCAATTTACTAACACTTATTTTTCACTATAAAGGCAAAAGAACCTAGACATTATCCCTGTCTTTCTTCCCCCCTTGGTGGTGGTGTTTATGTACTGTGGAGTTGGTTCCAACACAATAGTGACGCTGCATAGGATTTTTGAGGCCATAAATCTTTATGGGAGCAGAAAAACCTCATCTTTATCTTGCGGAATGGCTGGTAGTTTCAAATTACTGACCCTGAGGTTATCAGCCCAGCTTGTAACCACTACGCTACCAGAGTTCCTTCTTTTCCCTTGTTGTTGTTGTTGTTGTTGAGTGCCATCAAGTTGGTTCCGGCCCGTAGCAGCCCTGTATAGGGTTTCCAAGGAGCAACTGGTGAGCTTGAACTGCCGATCTTGCAATTCAAACTGGCTTGCTTTGCAGTCTGGTGCATTAACCCACAGCACCACACCAGGACTCCTCTTTTCCCTTAGAGGTATCTAAAGTCAGAAACTTTTTATTTGTTTGTTTTTTAAAGAAAATCAAGTTGGGTTTGCCTTCTTGACATTCCCCTCAACTTGCATTGGCAGGAGCGGATGTGCATTTGGTGGCCCCATTGTTGGTTTGAGCTCTGTGATTTTGTCCTGCAATATATCAACCTTCAGACCTAATGAACCCTGGAAACGTTTGATGTCAGAGGGCTTCAGGGCTTCAGTCACATACACAGTATTCCCCGAACTTTGAAACAACTCTTTTTAGAACATGTAGCTATCTTTCACTGCTTGAAAATGATAGTTTCCGAAATTGCTTTTTAGAACATAAGTATGGTATACTTTGTAAATGATTTAGACTGTCCCTATCGAATCATGACCTCCTTGAGTCAGAAGAAGTGCATCTTTGGGGCGGGGGGTCGTCATATTTATGCTTTATCACACTGATCTATCTGAATAACAGATGGTACAGGGTTTCCGAGGCTGGAAATCTTGACAGGAGCAATTTCTCCTGCGGAACAGTTGGTAGTTTCGAACTGCTGACCTTGCGGCTCACAGCCCGATTCGTAACCACTATGCTACCAGAGTTCCTTTTATTTATATATACTTGTATGAAATACATAAACCTGTAGATTGTAATCTGTGAAATATTTCTCAAACTTAACATTTCAGTGAGATTTTGAGCCACAGGTTTACTGGACTTACCTTAACAATGATTTATCTTGCTTTAAAGACTATTGATTTCAAAATAAAGTATTGATAAAGCATCTAGAGTAAAGAAATACAATGAATCATAAAAAAGTCTACCTTGATCGTGTGTCTTTGTAAGATCTATCTATATGAGATCAAATATTGACAACAAATTTTACTAAGACCTCACTTATTGAGAAAGTCATAGTGGTTACGAGATTGGCTTGAGACCAATTTCAGGGGTTTAGTTCTTTGTTTCTTTGTTAGGCTGTAATACAGCTCAAGTATTAAACATGGTGAAGGACACATCATACTAAGGGGCTTCAAAGAATTCTTGGAAAAATGGAATTAGAAGATACTAGGATTTTTCCACAAATGTTTTGAAGCCCCCTCATATTACCTTTATCCATGTCCTTGGATGCAATTTCCAAAAGCATACTTTATCTCCCCGCTGAGATCAATTTTCATGTTGACAACAGTAACTCCAAAAGAATAGAGTGGACACTTAGGGGACAGTGAGTTGATGTGAGTGGAGGCAGAACAGCTCAGGAAAGGAGGATGAGGATGGCTAGCCAGCTTGAAGAATGGCATCCATGTCACTAAACTGTACACGTAGAAGCATGACCATTTACATATGTAATTCTACATGTGTAATTGCTGTGGATAATTCTCAACAACAACAAAAATAATTTTTTTTAGAGAGAAAAGCGTGGCATTGCCATATGCTTTAGAAATCCCAATCCTAAATTTATACTCCACTGAATTAAAAACAAGTACTAAAATACTTGAGTCCTGGTGTGGCGCTGTGGGTTAATGCCCTGGACTGCAAAATCGGTTGGAACTGCAAGGTCAGTGGTTCAGACTCACCAGCTGCTCCTTGGAAACCCTATACAAGGTCGCTGTGGGTTGGAACCAACTCAACAGCACTTACCAACAACAACAACACTGAACCGGTTGCACAGTTTGAAGAATGTAGTCAGTGTCCCTGACTTGTGCATGAAGAAGACATTGAGTTGGTGTATGCTTTGCTGGGTGTATTTTCAACACAATAAAAACAAAATATTTTTTTCACTGTTTCCAAACAATTAAAAAGATTCTCTTGTGTGCCCTGTTCCACCCCAGCTTCTAGCCTGGTCAGTGGACGTCCCCGAGGCTCTCACTGTGGTAACCATCGCTCCAGATTTCCATGGTGTCCACCACGGCTACATCACCAACCTGAAGAAGTTCACCGCGTACTTCACATCCGTTCTGTGTTTCACCACCCCAGGGGACGGGCCTCCAAGTACGCCTCAGCTCATCTGGACTCATGAAGATAGTAAGTGTCCACATGTCCTTTCTCTCCTCAGCAGCCTGGTGGCCATAGCCAATTTGAGAGGGTACAGAGCCTTGAGCTGTCTAGCATTGGACCAGCAGTGACAGACGTTCAGAAGCTCCATGTTCACCCCAGGGAGACAGGTCACTGAACTGTAGGGGTGATCCTGGGTATGACAGGAGGCCATGGTTAGAGGAAGCAGCTCTGAGGACAGGAGATGGGGACCCCAGCCTTAATGCGTGCTCAGCCGTATGTTCTTTCTTGATTTATGGCTGAGTGTATGCACAGCAAATCAGACACCAGCGTGTAACATGCACAACTCAGGACATTCTTCAGCTTGTGCAACTATTCTCACCCTCCTTTTCCAAATTGTTCCTCCCTCATTCACATGAACTCACTGCCCCTAAAGGTCCCATGGCCCCTTTCAAGTTGCCATTCTCAATTTGATCCCATATCAGTAGTTCAGAAAAAAAACCACAATGCTCAAGGCAAATATGTTTTAACTAAATAAACTATAGGAAGACCCCCAATGAGATGGATTGGCCAAGTGGCAGCATCGATGGGCTCAAACATGGCAACAGTAGTGAGGTTGGCCCAGGATCGGGCAATGTTTTGTTCTGCTGTGCATAAGGTCTCTGTGAGTCAGTACCAAATTGATGGCTCCTAACAACAACAACATTGTTTGGTTTGAAGACAGTCACTTGAACTCGCTTTTCACCCGGATTTCAATTTCTACTCCACTTACCACTTTCTGTAATGCCCCTTTCTACCCACCCTTCTGGATTCCCTGTCTCCCACCTCGCCCCTGACCCTCCCAAGAATATTTCACCAGAGCTGTGACCTTCCCCTGTCCCCATCTGATCACTTCCGACCAGCTCTTCTATCCTTGGGCCAGATACCTTTAATGGAAAACATTATTTAATGAAGTGATCCAGAGATAATCATTTTGAGTGTTTGTAAAAGTTACTGGCAATTAACAAACAAAAAAGAAACATTTAACATCCAAATGTTCCAAAGGGGGAGCATTGAAACAATGATGGAATGACAATATGATAAATATGATATCATATGACAATATGATAAATATGATGAAAATTAATCACGAGAATGAAAATTAATTATGAGGATCCAAAGTTTTGAGGGAAAAGTGTCATGATACAGTGTCAAGTGAAATAAAAGGAACACAAAATTATATGAAACCAAAACTTTATAAAATGCGTTTGCATAGATGATTGGGACCTCAAAAAAAAATGCACACTTATGTGCATCTGAAGATTTCACCAAAACAGTAAAATGAGAACCCATAGACTGGAAAAAAATTTTGGCAATCACTTACCAGACAAGGGACTACTCTCTAAAATACATGGAACACTTCAACACCTCAACAAAGAGACAAATAATCCAAGTTAAAAATGGGCAGAGGCCATAAGCAGACACACTTCACCAAAGACGACATTCAGGTGTCCAACAAACATGAAGAA